AGGGATTGCTCGTTAACCGAAGTTAAGAATCTTATGGAAGGTAACTCGTTAACAGAAATCTCGTTAACCGAGGCGCTCGTTAACCGAGGGACCACTGTATACAGGTAACCCTCGAGGTACAAGCATTCGAGATGTGAATATTCGCTTTTACGAATTTCTTAAATTGGCACCACTACTGTAATGTTTTAGGAGAAATGAGAGCTTTCCCCACTTAGTTGAAGGGGCAAAAATTCAAATTTTGTGTGCTGAGATTCATTTGGCGCAGCCTTCTTGGGGAGAGATGCAGAGAAACCTATTCTTGCTCGCTGATCACGGCCCACCTCCCTCCCACAACCCTGCATCTTTCCTTCCACCATTTGTTGTGTGTGTAAAGTTATCTCTCTTTATCCGTGTGTATTTGTACCACCCCTTCATCCTTTTGTTGCAACTTTTGTAATGGCATCCAAGCATTCTGGTGAATCTTCAGCCACCTGTACTACACTGAATAAACCATGAAAGGCTTCTCTCGAGACAAAGCTGGAAGTTCAATAATTAAGTATCATGAGCATGGTGATGGCCCTACCAAGATTGGGAAAGATCTTGGTCTGGCTGCTTCTACTGTGGCCACAATTTACAAGCACACCACTGGTGTAACTGTGTGTAACTGTGGTGTCCTTGGAGACAGCAGTGATGAGGTGGACAACCCTCCTCATCTCACTGAGTAAGGATTTACTCAGCCAACTCCTGCTCACCCCCTTTTAATGTTGAGTCCAGACTGCCTTCCCATAGGGTAATGTACTAAAGTTAAACACTATTTTATTAATTTTTGTTCTGTGTTTGTGATTAATTTCATGTGTTAGGTAGTAAATTAGTTATGTACTATTTATCATTAGTTAGGTTTTATTCTTTGTGAACTGATTTCGTGTTTTGGGGTATTTTTGTCATTGGGAAATTTAACCCTATTTTTCCATTCGTAATATGAAAATTCACCTAACGAATGTTATTTTCGGAATCTAACCCATTTGTATCTCGAGGGATACCTATACAGTAAAGTGGACAGAGTATTCCTATTGTAGCTAGTGCATAGAGGTGTATGTACAGTAGGTATAGTATACAGTGATCAAGACGACAACATCTGCTGGTGAGTGCAGTAGTATAGTACTGTACACTGTAAATCCTTAAACTACGTGGGTTTAAATGACGTGGCTCTCACCCCTCCGCGGAGTGCATGGGGGGAGAAAGGGAGGTTATGTACGTGCTCTGACAACTTCAACTACTGGCCATGAAGGGTCTCTGCGGTGGCACAGGAGAATTCCACTGCATCTTAAACACAATACACACCCATGATCTTCATATTTCTTATTTTATAGTTTTATATTATATTTCTTTATTTCTAAGTCACAGTAAAATATTAAAAGGATTTTTCCACAACTTTTATAGTTTCATTATATGTAACAATGGCAACATGCATTGCTCTCGTAAAATTTTTGCTTTTTTATGCTTTCATTATATTTCCAAAATATTCTCTGCTGAAATCAACTTTGACAATCAGAGGCAAAGAGGATAAAGTTTACTTACAGCAGAGGTGGTTGTGTTGTGTGCATTTAAACTGAAATAGGTCTAACCAGCCGAGTCATTAGTTGCGTTATTTATAAACTGCCCACTGCTTCCACACTTACTATCACCACCCACTCAGAATACACACCCATGCTCTTCATAATCCTTCTATTATAGTTTTACATTATATTTTATTTATTTCTAAGTCACGTTAAATTATTGAAATGATTTTTCCAAAAATGTTAGTTATATTACAGTACTGTATATGTAACAATGGAAGCATGCATTACCATCTTGCAGGCCACAGCTGACTACCAGCATGTCTCAGAAAATGGACTTCTTAACAATTATTCTCCTCTTATATAAACGATGTGGCTTAGAAATAAAGAAAATATAATATAAAACTATAATATGAGGATTATGAAGAGCACGAGTGAGGAGTGAACGTGTATCTGTGGAGGCAGTTCTAGCGAAGACCTTGGCTATAAACTACATGGCCAACAGCGAGCACAGCTGCCTCATATAATGTTACTTGTAATAAACTACAGTATATAAGTTGTGAAAAAACCATTAACAGTACAGTACTCTTAATGTGGCTTAGAATTGTGGAAAATATAATAAACAACTAAAATAAGAAAAATAAAGAGCATATGTGGGAATTAAAAGTGTTATGGAATGGGTTTTTCTTTGTTTTGGGGCAATTTTGGCTTCCCGTAGGTGAATACATGTACTGTATTGCGGTTTTGGGTTTTTGCAGGGTTTTCATTAACCTAACTACCATGTTGTTTAAGGGTTTACTGTACTGTACAATACATAATTTTGTTTATTTACAATATATTGTACAGTGAGGTTTGCAAAAATAATACAGCTATTTGTCTGTCTCTGCGAGAATTGGAGTTCACTTTCGGAACACTTTCTCCAGCACTCGGAAATATTCCAAGGATGTGCAATAGTGTGTCCATGCGAGATATGCATATGTAGTTTAGACTCTCAGAAACTTTTCCCAGTACTGTACCCGGAAAAATTCCAGGGATTGAGATTTTTCCCGGAAGAGCTCTGCACAAATTATTCCGGCCAATAGAGATGTCACTTTAACCCAAAAATGTACAGTAACATAACTTGACCAGCTTGAAACTTAACTCTTCCCCCCCATTATTATATTGATTTATATTTAAAAATTTCTGCATTATAATCGTAACACGAATGAACTTTTAGCAATGAAACCCATATGAATAACAAGGACTCCTTGTACCTAGCAGAGAAAGAAATACAAATCAGTCAGGCTACCAGTATCATGTTGCAGAGCTATTTAACCTCTGAATTTCAACCTACGTAAAGTTAAAACATTCAGTATTGTACTGTAATATCGAAAACTGGAACAAAACATAATAATTTAAGGTACGGTATTTGTAAGAACTTTAAAGGAGTGTGTGTGACATAAACCAACATTGCCAAATAGAAAAAGTACTGTATACAAGTCACCCACATTGATGCAGGTTTTGCAAGAACCAGATTCACACTTCCATGGTTTAATTTTGACTTCCAAACTTTCTTATATACTGGGCTATGGTTCAATGCACATTCAATCTTTCCATTGTGTAATGCTGCAATGGATTGTGGGAAAACATTTTGCCCACCAGAATACACCTGGAGTTTGTTGTATGTAAACATGTTCTACTATTTGGAGACCCTGCCACTATTTAATGATGACCTTAATGTCCCTACACCATTTTTAAGCCAGTACCACCTTGCATAGAAAACACCAAAGTATATTGGTGAGTATATACATAATGTTCCTTCAATTTATATTGCCATGTATTTACATGTTATAAAATTGACATTAGCATATGCTTGATAACTTACTGCATACAGAAATATCATCAACAGGGGGATTTGGCTGGGAATGTAACCCTTCTTTTATTATGGAACTTGAATTCATATGCAGTACACTGGTTTCACTTATGCTGGTCTTTTCTAAGGATGCAACCCCTGGCATAAATGAGAGCAACCTTTATAAGTCCTGTAGCTTCATAAATTTTATAAGAAGAACAGGAATCATGTTGACTGTAAGCCAGCCAGGGAAAATATGGGGAGGTTTGAGTTCCAGTTTTATGACCAGAGTGTTCTCATCTTGAAGCAAACCAGCTCCAGGATTTGTCTTGGTGTACCACTTTGCAAACTTTGCATTGAGAGCTGGAATTTTTACTGCATAAATCAGAGCACAGTCAACCCAATAGCTGTTTAAGCAATGATTCACTTTGATTTGGCAGATCCCCTGTCTCAGGAAGCAGATAGCTGGGAGGTTATGGCTAAGTAATCTTAAATTAGTGAATTAATTAGAGTAAATGTAGATATTGCAAAGGATATAATTGTAACTATGTACAAAAATGTGGATATACCTGTACTGTAATTGTAATTGCTGTATATAGAATAAATGTGATAAATTATGTTCACTAGAAAAATCTCATCACTTGACATTGGATTGGTAAGGTTCAACACTGAATTAGGTGTAAAATATCCAGAATAGCACATTTATTAAACCATTCTAAATGAGCCAGGGGTGTAGTAGCTGAGGAGATACAATAGTTTGTTCACACAAACTTTGCAATTGAGGCTTAGCCTCAGTTTGTAGCAAGGCAGCTGATTGTCTGGCACTGACATTGTAAAAGTCATTGCTGTACAGTACTTTAATATTGTATTTAATGTCTTATTTATATTATATTTTAAAGGATAATAACTATTCTGTGTTGATCTGTTATAATTTCTACACTTGGGGAAGCAAAAATTAACATGTGAAACACACTGGTAACATTAATATCTTGAAGAGAACAAGAAAAATATTATAGATTTCAGAGACATTCTCCACAAAGCTGTGTGACATCACATGGCAAGGAGGAGTTTGCCTCAGATCTCGTTCATCATGTTCTTGTTCTCTTCAAGATATTTGTTACCAGTTCATTTCCCAAGCTTTATTTCTGCTCCCCAGCATACAGAAATTATCAGAGTTCAACCCAGAATAGATAATACCCTGTATCCCAAAAATATCAGAAAAAAAAATACAAGATTAAAATACTACAGAACTGTAGTGACTTTTCATGTGTTTGTCTGCCAGCTAATCAACTACTGCCTTGCTACAAACTGACTCTAAGCCTCAGTTGCAAGATTTGAGTGTACAGACTACAGTACAGTATAAGTCCTACCTGTAATACCTTAAATTTGGAGAAGTGAAGGCAGTTGAATGCAGTGTTGGCTTCTGAGTACTGAAGACTTGGTAAATACTGTAGTGTGTTCTATCCACATTATCCCAAACTGGCTGTCAGGCCAATGAAACCCACTTTTATTTTCAAATTAACTTAACATACTGTGTTTTCCTCACTGGTTTCTTTTTGGCTTGATGTAGCAGTTTTCTTGCTTGCAGAAACAAGTCTTCCCAACCACAAAGAAGGAATAAAGATAATAATTTGTTAACAAACTCCTGTATTTAGAAACAGTTTAACAAATGTCATTGTCAGTCTGCATCAGATCATTTCCGTCAAGTCAATATTAATTTAATTTCTCTACAAAATACTTTAGGAAAAACAATGAGTATCTACAAAATGTTAAATAAAAGGACAATGGAGGTTGTGGCCCTGGACCACCGTACTGTACAGGTATGGTACAAAACTTGTGTTACAATCCACAGCCTGATCATCATGAAAGACACGTTGACCACAGTTAACCCTTGGGGCTGTACTGTGGCCTTGTGGGCCGCCCGCCCTGCACCACCCTCGGTAGAGGTGCTTCTAGCAGCAGCAGCAGCAGCAGCAGCAGGTGGCCCAGCATAGCCCAGACTTATACCTAGGCTCTAGCATTTGCTGGACACCACCTGAGGCCTGGTGTGGCCTAGGGATGACTAGAGTCAGCGTGGGTCATCCTTTTTATCCGGGGGCCGTGGGTGAGCCGGCGAGGAGCCACGCATGGAGGGGATGAGAGGCGGAGGCAAACCAGGTCCAAGGGGTGGTGGTTGAGGGTGACCTGGAGCACCTGGATGTGAAGGCCCGTGCATAGATCCTAGACCAGGCGGATGCATGCCAGGGGGCCCAGGACCCAGTGGAGGACCACCTTTCAGCAATGATGATGCCATATGTGAAACTGAGGGATGATGAGGTGGAAGTAATGCTGATGTAGGTGGGTAGAGTCCACTTGGAACTCCAACTGCTAGGTGACTACGCTCAAAAAGTTCCCTAGCTGCAGCTGCCTGCTGCTGCTGGTGATGCTGTTCTCTATAACGTTCACTTAGTATCAATGATGATAGAGGATTAGCATGTAACATCTGTTCTTCTCGAAGGCTCATTCTTGGGTCACGTAAAGACTCCCTTATTAATGCATCACGGGCTGCTAGGTCATGAGCTCTTACTGCAGACATTTGTTCTTGGGCAGACCGATAATCACGGAAGGGGTCTGCCCATGCTGCCAGATGTGAGGGACCACCTCCATATGCTGAAGGGCCTAACAAACGAACACGTTCCAGGGCCGAATTAGCGGAGGTGGTGGCCATAGTTACAGCCAAAGAGTGTGGTGGCAACATCCCCACAGATACTGGTGGTTGTAAAACAGATGGTGGAACACCATGTGTTAAGTGTCGAGGAGGTGCTTCTTTTCCACCAACAATCATCACCTCGTCTTTACCTTCTAACTTAATACGTGGATCCAGTGTTCTAGATCCTGGTCTTGAGCCAGGTCGGGAATCTGGTCTTCCTTCTGTTTTCATACTTGATGATGGAAGTGGCAACTGATTAGAAATATGTGAGGGAGGCTGTTCTTTATGATCAGGGCGAAGTGGGGACCGTGAACTATCTCTACGGGGTACAGCACGGTCGTGACTAGCATCCAAGGCACGAGCTACCCGATCCTTATCAATTTCAGCACGTCGCTCGCGTTCTCTTTCTCGTTCTTCTCGTTCTCTTCTTTCTTCACGTTCTCTTCTTTCTCGTTCTTCTCGTTCCCTTTTCTCCCGTTCTTCTCTATCTCTACGTTCTCTTTCCTCACGTTCCCGATTCTGTCTCTCTTCTTCACGACGTTCTCTTTCATACATGGCAGCATCAGGTTTAACAGGCCAAGGACCACCATAGGGTGTTGGAGCACGTAACCTGTGTGGATGAACATGTCTGCTTTCAGTTATAAATGTCCTTTTTATAGGAGAAAGTCAAAATAGATTATACATAAAAAATTCATAAATGGTAGTTTACCAACCTCTAAAAGAAAAAAGGTGTTTGAGACTAATCAAGTCAAAGTGTAATACATGTAACTAGTGTTAACTTGGTTACTCAACTAGGTTTCCTGCCAATGTTACCTATATAAAACATGGTCTCTCATTACCTAATTCTATTCAGGAGATAATTATACCAAATAAAAAAGCAAAATTAGTAAACACCAGAACAAGCAAACAATAACCAAGATATTTACTGGTCATACAGAAATATTAATTACCAATAATTGAACAATGTAGGATTTTAGATTTCTCCCAGATTCATATACAGGTACAATATAGGGACTTGTTATTTCATGGTACAGTACAGTACAATAATTCCATCTCACTCTCACAATACTTTACATTGAGGGTCTACTGTAGCTGGCTTAAAGCTTTAGGCATGGCAAGTCATAGGCTGTGCAAGACTTTTAGATAATATATCCATTACTGTTCTTGTAAACTAAGAGCCACCCTATATATCAAATACGTTTTATGAGCCCTTTTCAAGCCAATAAGTTTTGTACAATGAAAAAAATATAATAATTTGCCAGTTAGTGGTTAAAACGGCATCAAAAAGTTCATACAAGACAAAGATTAAGTTCTGACATAACCCTTCTATATTATTTAGCATTAACCATGAAAAGTAGACTTACCTCCATGCATCATGAGGTGTGGGTTGTGGTACAGTAAGTCCTGGTGGCAATGTTTCTCTAGAGAACATTGAGCCGGGCGGAGGCCCTGGTATAGATGTTGGAGTCACACCCCCGTGGTGGAATGCTGCTGCTGAAGGGGAAGGTCCAGGTGGTCCTCCTCCAGGATACCTTGTACCACCAAGGCCAGGCACAGAGGGTGTGAGGTGGGCATGGCTTAGCAGAGGAGAATCATAGCGGTGTGAAGGCCCCGGCCCAGCCAATAAAGAAGGTCCCAAATCAGGTGGTCGGGGTAAGGTGGGAAATATTGGTGCCCCAGGGGCAGGACCTCCCACACCAGGTCCCGATGGAGGTCGAAAAGGATCTGGACCTCCAAGTTTTGCACCAGGCTTCTCTGGTGTCTGTTTCTGTTGGTGGTAATAGATTTCCCAAGCAATGCGCACATGCATTGCATTCCAACGACCCGTCTTCTACAAGGAAGAAACAAACAATATTTAGGCAATTTAAGATTAAAATGTGCATTGTTTATATTAAATCTTCAACAAATAAGACTTCTGACAAATATAAAACAAATCTGAGAAAATTTACAGGAAAACACTAACCACTGGTTTGCGTTGACTTGGTTCACCAATCTGTGGAGAAAAAAAATGTGTTGAAATAATGTATTTAACTAAACATGTATGCAGTTTTCATAATTAAACTAATAACTAATATGCTTCCAAAAGCTTTAGTGCAATAGTGTAGTGCATGTATCATTTGATTAAAGAAAAAGATTACATATATAGTCCAATATATATATATATATATATATATATATATATATATATATATATATATATATATATATATATATATATATATATATATATATATATATATATATATATATATATATATATATATATATATTTTATGCAGTTTAACAAATAACAACCTAACAACCTTTTCCTGCTATAATGTTGGGTGGCTAAAATTAAGAGCAAAGCAAACACATAGCCTCCCTACATTCACTGTCATTCATTCATTGTCGTATAAGATGTGTTCTGCTATGGTAATCCCCTTCAACAGGGCCCCAGACAATAAGGTATATACCTATCCTATCTCAAATTCTCAACCTGTCTTCGATATGTGAGGCCAGGCCCTTGGGTTGATTTCTAAATTCCATGGTGTACAAGGGAAGTGTAGATTGAGCACGTCTCATTGTCAGGTATCACCCTTACGTGTACTTCTCCTACACATCACTGAGTAGTAAAACATATACAGTGCAGTATACACAAGAGCCTGAACAATTATGATCAAGAATAGTCTTCAAAGATTACACTTAGCAAGACTCACACAAACTTGTAGCCTAAACATCAAGACCTTCTTTTTTAGTAGAAGCAACTATGAATAGTTGCAGTACAGGTATTTGTCCAGGACCTTTGAATAGTAAGTGAAAATCGATGGTAGCCACATCACTTTAATATTACTATACCTGTACAATATAGTCTGGATTTACGCGGTTTTTGTTTACGCGTTTGGTCATTTACGCGGTGCCTTGCCAGAATGAAATGCTTTAATTACGCGGTAAATTTCATCATTTACGCGGGAAGCGGCACGGGCAGGGTGCGCACAAGGTCGCCCAGTCATCAAAACATTACCGAGTTCTTCACCCACCACAGCCGGCCCAAGTCAGTGATAGTGAGGAAGTGGACTTTGAGGGGTTTGACAAAGAGGCCCTGCAAGCCTCTGTGGTGGATAGTGATACAAGTGATACAGGTGAGGGTCAATAATCTGCCCTCTGCCTCGGAACCAACCCCCCCGTCCCCGTGTGCACAGCCATCTTTTCTACTAACGTAAGTGTTAAAAAACCTATTATTGATATTTCTCTTAAATATTAATTGTGTGTGCATACCATCATAAAATTAAGATGTTATTTTTACTACAACGTACGTATTGTGTCGGAAAAAGTGGAGTTTGGGAGTCGGCCCAGTCTCTACTGTATTTCAATTAATCCCATATGTTCTGTTATTTCGTTTATGCATTTCTCGTTTTATGCGGACCTCCACGGGTTCAATTGACCACGTAAATGCAGACTATACTGTGCAGTATTACTATGCTAAGATGTTCTAAAGATGGAAAAGATGACAAATATGCAAAATATGATAAAAAAAAGTTTCAGGCTAAAGATATATAATTTAGAGCTACAACTTACCTTAGGTGCCACAGAAGACAGGTGAGAAGGTGGAGCAAAGGTTGAGGTAGGAGGATGCACTAGAGGGGAGAGGCCAGGAGGGTAGCTGTTGGCCAGGCTGCCTCCTGGCCGGTACAAACTGCTCTCCAGCCCTACTTTGCTCACTTCCTTGAACTAATGAACATATTAATTGTTAGTGATGTAAAGCTTAAACACTTTTTTTACAAAATATAGACAAAAATCTCATTTTATATACTCAATTTTGAAAAAAAAAATCATTAGGCATAGTCATGACTCCTACTGGTTGTAATGTATTTTACCAAAGAAATGTTCAGTTGAATAACTAAGTATTTTAACACACACACAACCACCACTTGGGAACTGCCGTGTGAGCTAAAACACCATGTGACATTAGACCCCCTGGACAACAGTGTCATCGTGCTAATACCTGTATAAACCGCCTATCAAAAGGCACTCAGTACACTGGCCCTATCACCTCCCTCTGATCTTCATTACCTCTCCAACTATCAGTTTGGAGAAAGAAACACTACACCATCTTGGAATAGATCCCATCCATGTGCAGCTGTGGTGTTAGACAGCTGCACTAGACCTACAAGACCCACCCTGCTGTAGTTTCTGTAACTTGCATGTTCACCACTTGTTTGTATTGAATTTTTTTTTTAAATATCCCAATGTCATCTTATGTAATCTATGTCATTTCTGTTCATTGTGTATGTTCAGCCTTTTTCTTCTATTTATACTTTAATAAAATCATTATTTTCAACCAATAAGAATCACACAATTAACTACAGAGAATGAATTCTTTTAATTCTGCCATCATCTGAGTCACCTTAGACATAAGCCTTAGCCTTTCCATCAAGGTTGACCTTAGTCCGGGGGCCACATGCTGAAAATTTTGAAAAGTATGACCGGATGGATATAAAATTTTCATGTTGATTTTATGATAGTACAGTATAGTCCTTCTCCAACTTCAAAACCAATGGTGGACATGTGAAAGCTCTTGCACAACATTGTTTTTTTTTTTTAATATCATTTGTAAAGCATACCAGAAACGAGACTAACGTGTCCCATCCAGTAGCACTTAAATAATATGTAATATGCAAAAATTCTAATAAATAAAGTAATTAATTGATGCTTTTACTTAATAAGTAAACCATAAAGCAAACAATGATTTTCAATAGTTACAAAAAGTAAATTCAGACTTTTTCAATAAATGTTTTCCTTTTAGATTAGACTCTGCTTGACTTTTAATTTACAAATGTGTCTTGTTTATTTTACTTGACTGGCTCTCATTATTATTTTCACAAAAATATACAAATAATACTAAAATAATTACCATAGTTCAATTGAAAAAAAATGGCTATCAAGATAAATATTGTACAGTATACATGTATATAAAAATATGAAAAACAAGGTGCACATTTCATTAAGATACAGGCATTGGTTAAGAGAAAATTTCATACTAAACAATAACTTTCACATACAATACATAATATGATTGTCAAAAGTATATACAATGTATGAACAGTATAATGCTACCAGTATATAAGTACAGGTACTGGTGACAAATTCTGCACAATGATTTGCGACCCTTATTTATGTTATCAGGTTGAAAAGTTCATGTCATGAAGCTGTACCCATTTAAAATCATCTTTCTTTATATCATCACTTGAAGAATAGTCATGAACTCTTCCACATTTACCTTGTTCTCCAAGACGATTACAAGCAATTGTACACAGTACAGATGCTTTACTACATGAACAAATCTTTAAACATTTGCAAAAAGTTAATGCCACACACTGGGGGTTTACACCATTAATGGCTTTAGAGTTCCATTTGTAAATGTCCATCCAAAATTAGTAGGTGAAGACAAATCAAGTAAGCTGTCTTGCAAACTGAAATCTGGTACAAGCTTCTCAAAATTTGTTGCTTTGCAGAATCATCAGTAGGAGGTAAAGCACACAAGTCAGATTTTGTAGAGAAAAATAAATGAGCTCTTAAAACATATAGAGCACCAAAGTCTTTGTGTCCATAGAGAGCCACCATAGATGGCATCTTTGTACACTTCACTGCTGACTGTAGGGGATACTTCATTTTCAAATGCTGAGAGGTGAGGAATCATGCCATTGAGCTCAAATGCTGCCTTTGCTGTTTTATTCTTATGCCTGTGTAACAGTCACTAAGGCCATAAGCCCTATTTCATAAACAACTCTTGAAGAAAACTATGAATAGGGAGAAAATTTCCCCCTTTTTCATTCCATAAGCTTTGAAGTTGTGGTATTTTATGAAGATGATATAAGCATAAAAGAGCAACATGTGTCACTTGACTGAACCACAATATCAGTACATCCAAACTTCTCGGCTGAATATGCCTAGTCACTATCTGAGTATCTGCCTCTTCATTGTCAGCACAAGCAATTTCAGAAACACAGCCAATGCTGTGCCCAAACCTGTTCAATATTCTGACTAGATCCTTACATCTTGTCTGTTTCAGGCAATATTCAACACCTGTTCAGATTTCTCCTTTGAAAGTCTTACTCTACCATACTCTTCAATTCCAGGTTCTGTATCACTTGAAAGCCAGGCATTCTTTTTGTTGCAACTTCATAGGATATCTTCAAATGAGTTTCAGAAATGGCAGAACACACACTGTTCATGACCCTTCTTCAGCAGCCTTAGCCTCATCCCTTCATCAAGATACTGAGTAACATAATATGTACCATTATGTATGAAGTGTGTGTCATTTGTTTCTCCATCATTTTCATCTGATTCATTTTGAGGTTGGCAATCATCAAGTTGCTGTTGCAGTTTAGCAGAAATAGCACACATCTTGCTTACTGGAAGTTCTGAGGAGCAGACTAGGTAAGGTTGCCTCTTTGTGTCACTATTTGTATGATGAATTAAGTGTTGATGCAGTCTGTCCCCTCTGGATGTCATAGCTTTCTTAACACTATGCAGTAATTCTTAAGTAGTTGCCTACATCTGTCTCTAAGCTGAGTTTTAAAAAATAGGTACATTTTCTTCTTTCATTAATGCATATTCTATCTCTAAAGTATAATTCTTGAAAGGCCTGGACTGGTCAAATGGATTTACAGAGGTATCAGAAGGGGATGTTTTAGGGATCTTTTTATTGATGTTAACTGAATACACATACAGTATGTTAACATTTAAACAAAATTTATACACCAGTACTGTACAGGGTATATCAAAGTGCAACTCTCATTTGGAGGTAAATCAATCATTATAATTATGATATAAAGAAATGTATAATAGCACTTAGCCATTTAAAAGTTGTATATATTATTATTATTATTATTATTATTATTGCTTGATAATTTTGAACGATTTTATAATTACTTGATCAATTACTGAATTTTATATCACTGCCACAGAGAGTTAGTGTAAACCATAAATCATATACAGTATACAGTAGGCTCTCGCCAATAACGACTTCCACAATAATGTTTTCGACAATAACGTTAAGTTACAATAGATACCCATTTTCGATAATAACGTCTGGATTTTCTTGAATAACGGAGATTTTGCGGGAAGTGTCCGAGCGCATCAATGATAGCGTTTGCTTGCCGCCATGTTGATGACGTAGTTGTCCGCTCCGCCTCACTCTCACACACGCTCCGTGTAATACAGCGTTGCGCCCCATGTGAGATTTTCATCTCTATAATCAGTGGTTACTAGGGTCGGTGATCAATACTGGCTTCCACATTTTTGCCTGTGGGGGTTAGGGGAGGTGGTGGAGGGAGTGATTTGCCCGGGAACTTTTAAAGTGAATGAGAAAAAAGATCCCAAAGCTAAGAGACAAAGCCACAAGAAGTGTACCTACTCGGTCAAGGATAAAGAACAGATTGTTGAGCTCATTGAAAGTGGTGCACGGAACATTGATATTGTGAGGAAACTGAACTGTCCTGAGTCTACAGTGCGAAATATTAAGTGGAACTTAGAGGAGACCAAGAAGAGTATTGCGCTGGCTAAGAAATATTTCGGAAGTGATGGAAATGCAAGGCGAGATATGACTGATAAAAGTGATAGAAACAGGTTGTTAGTGATAACAGAGCATTTTCTTGTGAAATGGTTAGCTTGTAGAATGAAAGACAGTGCAAGTCTTAGCGGCCCTCAGATACGGGACAATCATCACACCAAGCAACTCAAAAACTCACCCAAGCTAAGTGTTATATTACTCGAACTCTTTACTTTGATGATTGAATAACAATTCTTTTTATTTCAGCTAACAAAAAGTGTTAGGAGGGTTTCTAATGGGAAAAATTAGGTGAAATTCTTGGGGCGGCGGCACCAATAAACCCTTTTTACATGTATTTTAATGTCACACAAATAACATTTTCGCTAATAACAGCATTTTTCAGGCACCTATTAAACGTTATTGGCGAGAGCCTACTGTAGTCTGGATTTAAGCGGTTTTTGTTTACGCGTTTGGTCATTTACGCGGTGCCTTGCCAGAATTTAAATGCTTTAATTACGCGGTAAATTTGGTCATTTACGCGGAGAGCGGCTGAAGGTCCAGACGCGCAGCGCCATTTTGTATTCAAGCGGCCCATGCTTGACCATAAGCGGGGGAAAGCGGCACGAGTAAGGTTGCGCAGTATGTCGCTGTTGCGCTATCGGTGACGTCATATGACGTATGGGACTGTGATTGGACCACGCATCCTTACTGCCCTCCCCCACTAGCTGTGATTGGTTTAGTGTAATATGACGTGCCCTGCCACCAGAGAGAAGAAGCAGCTGACCTACCCGCGTCAGTCGAGTTGTTCCCAGTCACTGTGTGTATACTGTGCTCTATTGTGCCCGCTAATTTCGCAACAATGGCATCCGCTGGACCCCCCACCACAGAAAAACCTTGCATTACCTGGACCCAGCCGCCCCAAGCCAAAGAAGATACGACGTGCCCTCAGTTACGAAGTTAAGTGCAAGATTTAGAAAAAGGAACAAGGCAAGTTAATAATCATATTATAATATATATATATATATATATATATATAAATATATATATATATATATATATATATATATATATATATATATATATATATATATATATATATATATATATATATATATATATATATATATATATATATTAGTAATTATAATATGATTATTAATATTACTATTGTAGTATTTTGGAGTAAATGCACTTTATATTTCTTGACACAGTTCATTGCCTTAAGCTAGTAACATCATCAGCTACACTCTGGAAACTACCACTTGCAAAAAAACTGAAAACAGATGTATTTAGCCAGAGTATATGCCAAAGTAACAGTAAGTGGTCATCGATTTGTAGAGGGTCCAAAGGAACCCTAAACATCATTTCTCTCCAGTGTGCACTGTCACGAACAAAAGTAATTGTTAGTTACATCTTCACAGCTTCACTCTCACTTGTGATGCTTGAAATACTGCATATCTGGCAGCTCTGTGTTTCATGACAGGGTATATTGTAGAGACAACGGGAACTATTTCCACCTTGCGAAAACTTACTGGCAATCAGTGGCCACTTTACGCTGCTAGTGAATCGGCCCTGGATATGTTAAAATTTTCCCCAGCAAACCTAAGTCCAAATTTAAATGGACAATAATACACAATTGTGCCAGGAACACATAATAAACTTTGTTTCACTGTAAGGAGAACATCGGAAGATAAATATAATTACGATATTAAGTTAGCTCGGTGTACACTTATAGTAGGAAGCAATTATTTATTCTGGTACAAGACTTTATATTATTTCTATTAAATTGAAAATCGGTTTTAAAATTCAATAGTAAATTATAAATACTGTATAAATAACATTCAAAATGAGGTCCAAAGTTAGCCACATCCAGAACTTAGTAAGAGGGCATTCAAGGCTGTATTGTTTTA